CTGTCTCCTGCTGACTGTGTGGCTGCGGTAAAGATAACCAACCTCTTTATGCCTCTATTTCCTCAGCTGCAAAATGAGGACAGCTAAACTTATTCACAAGGCTACTGTAAGAAGTAAACAAAATCACACATTTAAAGCACTTAGCATCCTGCCTGGTCCATTTGTGCTCAATACATACTAATTTATTAAAAGGCTAAAATAAACTTAACCCTGTCCAAAGTAACCCTACATGTCTTTGTATTCACTTCTCTGAACCCCACTGCCTGCCTGTGAAATAGAGTTGGTGTGCAGGTGAAATGAGATGGCTTCTCTCTGCAACTCACAAGCACAGCCTTTCATCCCTTTCAGTGCATTTCCTCTGACCTGTTTTGCAGAAATGCTACCGAAAGATGTATCTGGCACCAATCAATTCAGTTCTAATCTCTGCAGACCAACTATGGGAGAAAAGTAAAAAAAAAAAATTCTTTCCTAGTTACCCAGGAGCCAACACTTCCAACTCAGATCTATGGAAAGCAGAGATTAAAATATTTTTTAGGAAGGAGACCGTGTAATGCCCATCCTGTCCCAGCTGCAGGGCACAAGGACCTTTAATCAGCCTCTCCTAAGGGCAGCACCTGCAGGTAAAATAGTGGCGGAGTCTGGAAGCAAGAGACTGCCTTGGGTGCCCAGACCAGAGATTTCCTTCAAGTGTGTAAAGTGGGGTTGATTCTAAAAGGGAGTTAGAGGTGGGAGGGCAGAGCCTCCAAGAGCTGGTGGTGCAGAAGAAAGTACAGAGCAGGCAGACCAGGAAAATGCTTTCGCTACTCCTGCTGCCTTTCCTTCTTTCTCTTCTTCTCCTTTTCCTCTTCACAAAGTCCCTCCAAGTGGGTTAACAGTTACCACCAGAGTAGCAGATCCACCCATTCATTCACAGTAGAACATAACCTGTTGATATGAGGCAAACCTGGGCTCAGTTCCTGCTTCCATCACTTGCCTCTCTGCATCTCAGTTGATGCATCTGTAAAATGGAGATGATCATTCCTATCTCAGAGAACCATGGTGAATATCCCGTGACATTACGTACGTAAAGATTCCAGCATAGCGCCTGTACCAGGGAAGCTACAGAAGAAGTGCTAGTTTCCTTCCTTCCCTCCTGCCTGCACTCAGTCTTGTGACACATCTATCTACGAAACAGAACTAATTCTCAAATCCTTCCTTCTTTAACAAACAAGGCTTTGCCTGCCATAAAAGGTTAGCAAATAGTGATTGAGCTTGGGATTTTCTGGGAAGCACTGTGTTAGAGCATGCAGTGTGTGATTATTTGATTTGTAGATATATTGTAATGACTTTTCACCACACAAAATCCTCAGGTGCTGCTAAGGACAGGACTGATGCTTCTCGGCTGCTTTTCTCCAAGACTTCTTTCTCTCATGCAAATCAGAAACATTCATCCTTTTGGCTTTCTGGCCTCTTGGCTGTCAGAAAACTCCAGTCACCTACGCACCACCCCCCACCGCCGCCACCACCCCTACAACCCTGAAAATAACATTATTGTTAAGAACTCATAACTTCAGAGTGTAATTTCAACCCTCTCATTGATAAGGCAATAACCCAAGCAAACAACATTAGATCAAGTTACAAATCTGAACGTAAAGTAGAGATGGAGGCATTATCTGGAAGGGATGAATTGGAGTTCTCTATAACACGGCAGAAATTCTCATAGGCAGAATAGACTTTGGATAGAACTGTCAGATCAAGCCATTGAGTGGCCCAGCTTCTAGTTCATCTCCCAGAGATCCTCAGCATGGCCTTGGTCAGAACATTCATACCTCTTAGATCTGTCTGCCCTTGGTAGAAAGTGTGCGTCAGGGTCCTGAGGTCAACTCAGTCAAGGTCTTCCAGGGACCCTTGCAGTTAGGAGGGGTCATTTTTTTCCCTCCTCATCTTTCCAACGGATGTCATAAAAACCGCTTATAAACTTTCTTTTTGACTGATATTGAGTGACAGCTAAAAGATACATCCCAAGCACATGGATCAGAGTTTTCTTTGTTTTTATGTCCAGGTCATAGCTCCTTGGAGTCACCAACAAACATGCCTTCTCCTTCTCCTGATTATTTTACATGGAATCTCACCTGGATAATGAAAGACTCCTTCCCTTTCCTGTCTCATCGCAGCAGATATGGTAAGTATATGTTTAATAGTTACTTGTGATGCACCATCACCATCTCGTAATAAGGACTCTGAGTTTCAGTTTGGGATTCAGCTCCAGGGGATTTCCTCAGCTCCCTATATGCAAAAGAAGTCTTTCTGAGCCCTTTGTCTCCCAGTGATATACAGCCCCACTGGACCGATCCAGCCAGGCCATTCCAGGGAGCCAAGGGTTTTGTTGCTGCCGTATCCCTCCCGCTTAGCCTTTATGATGTAGTCTTCCAGCTATAGCTTTACCAGTCATTAGATGAGATGCTTATTTGCATCTTGACTGTGGCTTTCTGGTTCTAACTCACAGTGTTTCTAACAATCACAGTCTCTTAAGAGGGGATTATTATTATGAGCATCACAGGTCCTCCAGGTCCCCTTGCAGTTAGGAAGCTCCTTAACGTTTCCCAAACACGTTCTTTGATATTATTTCAGTTCATTTGATTCTGCAACATCCTCTGACATAAAGAGACCAGGTCCAATTACATTTTTACAGATGTGGAAACTAAGTTTAACAAGATCACACAGAGTGGCTTCTCCAGCTACCAAGCCAGAGATTCTTCCCCTTCTTTCATTTTTTTTCTCTCGAGCGCCACCTATGTAGCCTAATAGGTCCTGTCCTAGGAGCCCTCAGGAGGTCGCCTGTACAGGCAGAAGATTCCCCCTTCTCTCTGCTCATTCTAACAGCTCATAGTAGCTGGGTCTCTGCAGTGGAGAGATTTACAGGAGAGAAGAAGCATTTCTAAGTGAACATTTTATTTCTCTTGAACTCCTCTAGGGCAAACCCCATAAGGGCAGGCACTAAGCTTTGCTCCCCACATTATTCTATCACATGGAAGAGATGCATAAAGACTTACTAGATTGGTGCAAAAGTAATTACGGTTTTGCCACTACTTTCAATGGCAAAAACTGCAATTACTTTCGAACGAACCTCATATTTATGATGAATTAATGCAAAAGGCCTCCAGAGATGAAACTCATTCATCAGGCCTGATTGAATTAAGTATTTATAAACCTGGGCAGCACTGAGTTCTAGATTTCCTTCTGGGCATATTTACCTGTTCCTCTATGCAGTCTCTACCCTTGGGCCTAAGCTATTTAAAATGCACCTGACAGAGATGTTCCACTTACTGTAGAAAAGCTCCCAGTCCACAGGCTGCTGTCTGTCATCTATAATGCTCTTGGTTCATAGGAACTGTACTTTTCATTTTAAACTTAAAAAAAAAAAATCCATCAAAAACCCCAGGGCAGTTTAGAATTATCTTCTGGGCTGGAATGTTTCCTGTGACTCTTAAGCAGCCCTCGCAGGAGAGAAAGTTCAGTGGTCGGAAGGAGGTTCCAGATAAGAATTACTTCCTGATTTTATTTAAGCCAGACACTGAGTGTCATCTTACGATAAGGGCAAGTATCCATAAGTAATTGAAATCTGGATCTTTGCATTGTTAATGCTTTGTAACCAGATTTGCGATACAGCTGGTCTTCAGGTGACATTTTTTAGTGTGCTCCCAAAGTCATTCAGTATCTCTACAGGAGGGCAATTTTTATAAAATGCAGAATGTCCAAAAAAGGCAGATCTACCCCTGCATGCTGCAGAGCGCAACACATTTGTTCCCTGCGGAGCATCTTATAAGAGGTTACAGGTCAAAAGGAGAAAACCATGAGAGCTTATTAAGCTGGTTCCTACCCACAGCGTGGCCCCGATAAACTCATTTGGTGGTCCCTGAGCCTCATCCTCCTTATCTGTAAAATGAGGGTGAGATGGCATGCCACCTTAGGGCAAAGGAATCAATCCAGTGGTTTTTCAAGATCTCTTTCAAACTCTCCTCATGGCCTGGAATCCTCATGATTTTCCTTCTTGGCAGAGGAGAGGACCCAAACTATTGGCAGTTACTGCCCGAGTTCTGGGTGAGAGTGCCCAAGTCAGCATCATTGTTGCTATTGATTCATGGGAAAGGAGGAGCTGATTCTTCACTGATGGTTCCTTAACTGATCATGGTAGTCATTCCAGAGGTTTTATGTCTTTCTGCCATAATTAATTCATCTGAGACTTATGAAGACATTACCGCCATCATCATCTTCCCTGTGTGCCTGACCCTGTGTCAGATGTGGGAAGTGATGCAAATATAAAGACAGGTAAGGCTTGGCCCTGCCCTTTCGGTGCTTATAGGCCAGAGAAGTCATTCTGTAGGCAGCGAGGCCCATTGCCATAAAGAGTGTCCCCAGTGGGCTGACCTCAGAGCATAGATGTTAAGGATCTGTGGGTCTTGCCCCAAGACCCACTGCAGAACAAGCTAAAGGCAGAGCTCAAGCCACGAGTCTGGTCCCCTTAAGGATGTTTGTGGGGCCTCAGCCCACATGTCTATGAACCAAGAGGCCAGCCGGCTCGGGCGATAAATCCATACCTTTCAACTGCCATGAAAGACATTTTAAGAAATGTTAACAACTTCATTAATTTTAAGGCCTCAAACTTGGGCAGAGAAATTTGACTGGAAAATTGCCGCCTGAAGGGATCATTCTTCAGACAGTGAGAAGTCACCAAGTCTCAGCAAGTCCATCATGGGACTCCATGCCTGGCTGGCTGTCTTCACCTGCATTCTGTTGGGGGTATGTTGGGGTGGGGAAACAAGAGTGAGCATTGACAACCTGACCATAGGTGTCCTGATGACCAGCGGGCTAGGCCTCTCTCGGGTGAGCTGTCCAGTTCTGAATTGGAATGGCTTTCCTCTCTCTAGTGTTTTATGAGAAGAGATGAGGTGGAAAGAGGCTAATAAGATTTACTCACCCCCAGTCTGTAATTATCTGCTTGAGGAAAAAGTTTGACCTACCTTTTTGAAGGCTCCCCATATTTCTTCTAATTTGCGTTGGGGCCTAATATGCTGTGTAAAATATATTCTCTTCTGTGGCATTTGACATCAGATTCCAGTCCTTTCTTGCCTTTGTCTTGAATGGTGAGCGCCCACTAATTTCATCATCAGCAAGCAGAGGGCTGCACTTTCCTCCCCTAAGGCTTTGAGAGGGAGGGCGTCTAAAGAAAGACTTTATTTTCTTTTTATTATCAGCTTTAATGCCTTTAGACTTATTTATAGGCTTGGCTAAAGGATTAGGCTCTAACTACCTACCCAGATAAAAATCTGTTCATCAGGTAGCACCAGATGCTAAGAGATTGAGGCCACTGGGGGTTTTAAAAGGCAGTTTTGATCACCTTGAGTTTTAGAGCCACAGAGACAGATGGTATCCTTTCCAACTTTAAATCATATTTGCCCACTCTGGGTATGGAAAGAATCACATCTACTTTTTAAACAGAATGACTGAAGGTTCTGTCCCATATGAGCAGGAGAAAGGGATTTTTCATTTATATATATTATATATACATATATATATAATTATACATAGCAAAACTCTTTTTCACCCATTTTTCTCATTTAAGTTGTATTATAAAATTGCAATAGATGGAAATTATTCTATAATTTCTATGGAAATGCAAATTGAGGATCAAAGGAGTTTAATAATGTGCTTTCAATTTACGGAGTGGATGCGCCATTAGAAAAGAGTGAACCCAGATTGTCTGACTCTAAGTTGAGTGCTCTTTCTAGCATGTCACAAAGTTACTTCAAAGATGAGCTTTCCCTGCCTGGAGAGCACGCTCACTTCCTGGATGACCTGGTGTTTAGCCGAATGATCAATCTGATGTCTAAGACCTTGGGTAGCTGTGGGACCAAGACTTGATATCACCAAATGAAGACTATCCCAGGCAGGCCAGATAATTCAACCCTTCCATCCATGAGTGGGGCCCCCCTGGCACTGTAGGTAGCCTTGTCTTCTCTACCCTCCCTCCTGCCCTGTCCCAGACTGTGGTCCCTGTATGGATTGACTTGGGTCTCTCTCACAACATTTGTTAAAATTCTAACCCCCTAGTATCTGTGAATGTGACCTTATTGGGAAGTAGAGCTTTTGCAATCAAGTAAAAATGAGACCATACTGGATTAGGATGGGCCTTAATCCAATACGATTGGTGTCCTTATGAGAAGAGAAAACACAGGCATATATGGAGGGCACACCATGTGACTCTGGAGTCAGAGATTAGAGTGATGTGTCTACAAGCGGGGGAACACCAAGGTCGCGGGCAACACTGGAAGCTAAGAGGAAGGCATGGAGCAAATTCTTCGTTAGTACTTCGGAGGCAGCACGACTCTGCCTACACGTCAACTTTGAACTTCTAGCCTCTGAAACTGTGAGAAAGTAAATTTCTGTTATTTTAAGCCACCCAGTGGATGGTACTTGGTTATGACTGCCCTGAGAAACTGGTCCAGCCCCATAACGTCCAGAACATTGATTCCTGGAAAAGAAAATATTCCTCCCACCCTCCCAAGGTCTAAGTGCCACAAAACAATTGTTAGATTTGGATAAAAGTTCTCTTCAAACTTTGTCTGCTTTCCAGTCGAAGGGGACCTATGCACTTCAGGGGCTGGTTCTTTTAGAAAGAAAAATTAGACTTTTTAATTACTTTCCCTGCCATTGCGACCATCACCACCCGTCCTGTTAATGTGTCAATTTCTTTGATTGAAAAGACTGGGTAAATTAAATATCTCTCAAAAAAAATCAGCCTAACACAGAATCAAAAATGGAAAACACAAAGGCCCTGCAGCTCTGTATGGGATTTGTTTCACAGCTCTGGCAGGAAGTCAGTTTGATCACATTTCTGAAATTACGTATTTAATGTGGCTGGCCATGATCAGCCATTCTGGTCCTCGGGGGCACTGGTGTCAGTGAAAAGCAGCTCCCTTGTGGACTGTCATCAGGGTTGAAAGCTTCCTTACCAACTCTTCTGCCCCTGCCAGGCCAGGTCTCTCTGTTTGTGTTCTCTTCCTAGCCTTGCTCCACTGAGCTAGGGGGTCAAGTTCTTTCCTAGCTCATGCCTCTGCATGTTCATCTGCAAGCTTGGTAAGCAAAAGACCTCTGCATGCATTTGCCACAAAGTCTGAGTCCCAAAGGGGACAGCAATGCTGGCAGTCACACAAGACTAGGGATTGGGGACTAGCTGTCACCTCGAGCACCCCGACCTGCTGAAAGCCAACATACTCAATCCATGGAAATTCAATACAAAGAAGTTGGCTTCGGTGTTTCAAAAAGAGATGTGTTTAAAATGCTCCCCTTGGTCATATCCCTTTAAAACAAAGACACATAAAGCCATTCCAATAAATATGAACAATGTATCTCTACGTTGGTGGAAAGTTGAGTAAGGAAATGCAGAAAGAATAAAAGTTCGAATAAAAGACAGTAAGAGGAAGAATGACCACATGACACAAAGGTGACAAAAACAAGTCAGAAAAGATACGTTTAAAACACTTTTTACAGACAGAGCGGGAAAGTCACTGACAAAGGGAAACAGATGATGAGGGGACAGAGACAGAGACACACAGGGAAAGAGAGAGGAAGAGAATAAAGTAAGAGGGTCGCCCTTGGCTGTCTGACCATCTTTTCATGTATTCTTTTTCTTGCTCACATGGGTTCAGCTGTCACCCCGGGAAGGTGGCTCCTTAGTGCTTGCTTCAGTCTTGACTTCCCCCTTCAGAGTCCCTCTTGCCCCCCGCACCCCACCTGCACCATTTCCCCCTTAGCATGTCTCCACCAACACAGAATGGGAGAAGGGGTGTCAACATTCATGGAGTGATGACTGTATGCTTGGTTGTGCTCTAGGCATCTCAATGATACAGACAAATAGGACACATTTTATTCCCTCAAGGAACTCTGGAGGAAGAAGTAAGCATGCCTGCTCTTTGACAAATGCAGTAGCAGAGGCCCAGGAACACAGAGGAGGGAGGACTCAAGAAGGGAGGTGTTTTGGAAACTGGGGCTGCTGAACTAGACTTTGGACTCTAGGGAACATGGATACCCATGAGAAGAGCATTCTGGGCAAAAGGGATGCATGTGCAAAGGCTGTAGAGGGTCTGGGGTGAGGCTGGAGACACACTCTGGGTATGCTCAGGGTTTGAGCATTGTCCTATGCATGAGGCATAGGATGGAAAAGAAAGGGAAGGAGGGGAATCTGGAAGAGATTCTGGATATAAGTGATCACCACTTGGTTACCTATGCAGGGGAATCCACCTTGAGTAATTAAGGGGATGAAGATGTCATTGACTGAAACAGAGAAGAGAAATATTTGGCAAGGAAAGGTGTTGACCAAGGCATCTAGAGGGAGGAGGAAAGGTTACATGTGAAATGCCTTCAGGACAGCCAGGTGAAGATGTAGAGAGCTGTAAACCCAGGTCCTGATTGGATAATTTATACAGGGAAGAGGTTTAATTGACCCACAGTCCCACATGGCTGGGGAGGCCTCACAATGATGGCAGAAGGCCATTAGGTGCAAAAGCATGTCTTACGTGGTGACAGGCAAAGAGACTGTGTGCAGGGGAACTTCATTTTATAAAACCATCACATCTCATGAGACTATTCACTCTCACGAGAACAGCATGGGAAAGACCCACCCCTATGATCCAATTACCTCCCACCGGGTCCCTCCCATGGCATATGGGAATTATAAGAGCTTCAGTTAAAGATGAGATTTGGGTGGGTACAGAGCCAAATCATATCAACACCAAAGCCAAGGAAGTGAAGAATTTTTAGATGAAGGAATGTTGTATGTATCTGTGGTACCCCCAACACTCCAATCAGTTCTGTGGAGACAGAATCAATCTCTGGGTCTGAAGAACCACCAGTACCTAATAACAAGGTTTGCTTAGATTTAGCAGGTATGACCTGCCTCTTGGATTTAGTAGAGCTTCCTTTTAGATAACATATAACAAGTATTCGCGACCAGTAGCTGATGACCACACTATAGCCCCAAATGAGAACAGTCTAGGGGGTTGTGGGCCTTGCTCTGTCCCCATATTCTCAGGGAGGAAATTTTTATGATGTGTCTCCACGCTACTTAGTGCCTCTGATGTCACACTTTTCCTTGTGTCTTAGTTATTTGTGGTCCTGCATTATTACTCCTCCTAGACTTTAAGCCTTTAGACACCGGGGGATTCACATCTTGTTTCCTTTTGCACCCTAGCACTTCTCTCATGTTTTGTACTCATTGTGTACTCACTAGAGGTAATTGCAATATCTGCCCAGCATTTCAGGGCCATATGAGGAGCAGACTCAGGTCTCGCAATTCCCAACCTACAGCTTTCCCACCCCCGAAGTTCTCTGTTTTATTAAAGGGCAGGGACATTCCCACCAGCACTCATTTCTAGTCATATTAATCAGTTTCAGGAAATAAATGTGTCTAAGGGGAGAACAGTTCCTGGGCTGGACTTACGTTGGTTGAGGATTCAAAGTGATTTTAACTATTTTGAGCAGGCATATTTTTTTTCCTTTCTTAACCTGAAAAAGCATATTCAGCAGATGTTAGTGAGTGGAGGAGTTTCTCTTTTGACAGCTTTGGGACATCTGAAATACCATATACAGAGCACTTCTAACCAACCTAGAAAGACATGTGTCCAAAACATAGGCAGGAAAAGGACTGATCAAGGGTGAGAAAAATGAGAGGAAATCCTCTTAAAATGTTTCATTGAGAGCAACCTCAGGTGCAGAACTTTGCGTCAGAAGAGATCTTCAATTCACAGTACTTTAACCAGCCCATTTGGGTAGATGACTAGAATAATTTGGTCTATGAGAAGTTCATAGAAATTGTGAGCTGTCAGGGCCTTCTGTGGTCTGGTCAAATAGCCACCTCCATAAGATGAGGAAACAGAGGCCTAGAGAGGTTGGTGATCTCCCCAGGACTGGTGGCAAAGCGAGATTCAAATCCAGGCCATCTGCTTGGCAGAGCCCATGTTTAACCTCTCTGCTGTAGAGGCAAGGGTTCATTTTTTTTCTCAATAAGAGGGCTCACAAAATATTTTCTTACATTTCAGTCCTATCTGTTGCTTTACACACCTCGTTCCTTGAATACCTTGGGTTTCCATCAGCCCAGCAGAGTTTTGCTGCCCTATAGATTGCCTCAGTGTGGGGTCAGTGCATTCCTGGTGTGGATGAACACACAGCCACACTCAGTCTAGTTGCCTCA